TTTTTACAGAGAGGAAGGGAGAGAGATAGAGTTAGAAACATCGATGAGCGAGAAACATCGACCAGCTGCCTCCTGCACACCTCCCACTGGGGATGTGCCCGCAACCAAGGTACATGCCCTTGACCGGAATCGAACCTGGGACCTTTCAGTCCACAGACCGACGCTCTATCCACTGAGCCAAACCGGTCTTGGCATCCAATCTTTTTTTAAACTTGCAATTTGATGGGAGTAAAACACATAGCATAAATTTGTCCTCATAAATTATAAGCGAGGTAGAGAACTTTTAAAATATACTTATTGACTATATATTTCTTTCTTTAAAAGCTCTGTTCATGTCCTTTGCCCATTTTTGTTCCCTATCTGGTGGCTATTATTTTTCTTTTCTTTTTTTTTAAAGTGCTCTTCTCTACTAAGGAAATTAATCCTCTGATTATTATGTACTGTGAATATTTTTTAGCTTGCTATATGTTTTTTGACTTTGCTTATGGTGTGCCTTGCCACATTTAGTTTTTATTTATCACATATTTTATTGCTTTTAGATTTCTTGTCATGTTATACATCATCTAAGATTATGAAAAAGGAAGACAAATTTTTTACTTAGTGTTTTTCAGATTCAAATATTTGATCCATTTGAAATTCATTTTTAATAAGTGTTAGAGATCTCTAATATAGTTTTTCAAAATGGATAGCTAAGTTGTTTCAATATTATCTATCAACTCTTCTTTTCTGTATGAATATTTGTATACTGACCCTGTTTCTAGATCAGAATCCATTTCTTTATGGCCATGCAGACATGTGATTAGTTGAGATTTTTAGAAGGTTTTTGAGGTCAGTGGAGCAATAAAAGGTGATAGACTAGAACCATTTTATCTTCCTTTTTTGTTTTAAAGATAGATAAATATCTTTCAAGGAATAGTTCTAAATCCAGTAGTTCTTTATCTGGACATAAACATACTCTCATGTGACTCTTAGATGACTGATATCTCTGGAGGGCAAGGCGAGTCTGGGATGACCTTCTAAGGCAGCAATTTGCAACGTTTTTCATACCACAGCACAAATTCAGTAATTACTAAAATTCTGCAGCACACCAAAAATGTATTTTTTGCTGATCTGACAAAAAATAGATATAATTTTTATTCATTCACACTGGATGGTTACTGTTGTGTTGGCTGTTGTTTTTTGTTTTTTTGTTTTTTTTAATTTGACAATTTAAGGGAAAAGAGGTCAGTACCTCTGACTAAATAGTCAGGTATTGAATGTTTTAGAAATTCTTGCAGCACACTGGTTAAAAATCGCTGTTCTAAGGCATACTTATTGAGAGTTTTTAAGAAAATGATTAGGATTTTAAAATGAGTTTGAACTGCTAGGCAATAAAAACCTGTTAGTGCCTACGCACTAGCTAATTCTGTACTTGCTACAAGGAGACAAAGAATATGTTTGTTAAAATAACTGAAATGAAGAAATGGTTATTAGTCACTACTTAGTACTCTTTAGTCATCTTTAGGAATTTAGTCACTACAGGCCTTGATTGTTTTTATTTTTAACTTTTTTATGGTGCACAATGCATGACTAGGGCACAGAGACCCCTAGTTTTACTTCTTTGCTCAGTTACTCACTGGCCATGTGACTTGTGGTCAAGTTGTTTAATTTCTTTGATTCTTAGTTTCTTCATTTTTTAAAAAAGATATGAAACCAACTCTTTTGCTTATCTACTGGGTTGTTATAAAGAATAAATGAGATGGTGCATGAGAAATAGTTCATAAATGTTAGCATTTGTAGCAGGTTTAATGAGGATGAAGATTTAGAAATTTGGGCTCCATAGTAACCCCTGAAGGAGAAGAGTTGCGGAAATAGGTTAGGAATGAATAGCTAGTGAGAAAGTGAAGGTGGGAAGTGTAAACCACTTTGCTAGTGTTATCAGAGAATTGCACGGGTGGAATTTCTTTATTGCTAGTGGGAGTAGGGTTCTTGGGACGCTGCTGGAATAGGAATTTCCAGAGGCCCCCACGGGAGGATGAGATGTGGTAGGAAGCTTTATTTGTGTGGAGTTATAGCCCTCGGTTTCTAGAGTCCTGATTTCCTTGAACCAGTCCTGGAAACGGTGCAGTGCAGCTGGGGACCCAGCAGAGCTGAAAGCAAAGCCATTCTATGATTTCTTCAAGAATTATTCAAACAAATTTTAGCGAGAGCTTAAAAAATATATATGTGTGTATATATATATGTGTGTGTGTGTGTGTGTGTGTGTGTGTGTGTGTATATTTTTTTAAATGTTGTTTGTGCATTTTTTTAAATATATTTTATTGATTTTTTACAGAGAGGAAGGGAGAGGGATAGAGAGTTAGAAACATCGATGAGAGAGAAACATCAATCAGCTGCCTTTTGCACACTCCCTACTGGGGATGTGCCCTCAACCAAGGTACATGCCCTTGACTGGAATCGAACCTGGGACCCCCGAGTCCGCAGGCCGATGCTCTATCCACTGAGCCAAACTGGCTAGGGCTGTTTGTGCATTTTATTAGTCACAGTTGCAGGATCCACTCAGAGAATCTAATTTCCCATGCTGTCAGAATTGTATCTTATTGCATTATATGATTAATATATAGTTGTAATTACCGTGTATATATATATAGTAGTTTTGTTTTTTCTACTTAGCATTTTTATGTATAAATTTCCTTCTGTTTATATTACTTGTGATTCATTTTCAAGAGCTGTCATGTTTTGTGGTAGTACTGTAGTTTACATAGTCATCCTTTCTGTTTGTTTGGTTTTTAACCTCATGATTTAAATAGTGCTGGTAAAAAAAAAATTGTGCTGGTATCCATCAACTTAAAAGCTACTTTTTCCCCCCCTTAGGCCGGGTTGACATAAAAGAGTTAATTGCAAAGAAGAAACAGTTGACAGCAGAGGCAGAGGTAAGTTAACTCCCTCTTCCAGAAACAAAAATGTAGGGTGTGCCCTGGCTGGTTTTGCTCAGTGGATAGACCAGCCTGCGGGCTGAAGGGTCCTAGGTTTGATTCCCATCAAGGGCATATGCCCAGGTTACGGGCTTGATCCCCATTAGGGGGCCTGCAGGAGGCAGCCAGTCAATGATTCTCTCTCATCATTGATGTTTCTATCTCACTCTCACTCTTCCTTCCTCTCTGAAAAAAAAAAAAAAAGTAGAGTGTTAGGGTAAAGAGTTTTGTTTAGTAAATTTTTAATGATAAAGTCTTTAAAGAATTATTTACCTTTCTTATCAGTTGACATTGTCTGTCCTTCTGTGGAGCAGGAGCATAAGGTCTGCTGCCTTGTCATCCTATATAAGAACCAGGTTGCTCTTTTCTATCCCATCTGTCACTGTCATTTTTCTGACTTTGACCAGCAAAACTTGGTTTTAGTGAAGCATGTTAAAGTTGAATTTCTATATGACTGTCTGTGTGGGTATTTTGTGAAAGTAGCAAGGTTCATAGAAATCACAGGCTTCCAGTAAATGATCCATCTGAATCCAGATTCCCTGTTAGGGATGTAGGGAAACAACCACGTGGAGCCATTTCAGGCTGGGCAAGCAGTCTGTAAATCAGAATTGAGCAGTTCCTTCAGGGAATTCTGGAGGACAAAGAACAATTTTAAAAAATACTGTGTGTGCTTGAATGTAAGTTGACTTCAAGGCAGCCTCCCTTTTATCTGAGATTACTTTAAGAATTTATTGGCCAACATGAATATCTAAATATCCAATGCTATAGATTAAATAGCCCTGTTATTATCTATTAATTTAGTTACATGTGCATGCATGTACATATGCACTTATTTAGAATAACAAATTTAGAAATTTTTATTTTTTAGCATCATATTTATATGGGGTTCTTGGACCCAGTTCTAACATGGGGGTATAGGTTCCCTCCACGCTAACAAGCACTTCTTGGATGCCAGCAAGGGTGTCTCAAGAATTCAACTAAATTCTGATACTATCTACCTGGAGATAAAAGTCAAATTCTGCAGGTAAAGGACTCAGTCCCACAAGACTGCCCTCCCAGATGTTGGAAGCAAGCTCAGGTTACTTATGCTTCTGACATCTGGCTATGGATTGGAAGTTCCAAACCTCCCCTGAAACTCAGAATGCCAGTCTCAAGTCCAGGTTGTCCCCTGTACTTCTGACCCACTGGCTGTAAATCAGAGGTTCCCTGGGTCTGATAAATTTGCTAGAAGGAGGGACAGAACGCAGGAAAACCGGTTTACTACTAGATTACCAATTCATTACAAAAGATAAGAATCAACGGCCAGATGAAGAGATACGGGGCGAGGTCCTGAACAAAGGAATATCTGTCCTTAGGGTGCTGGGGCCTGGCAGGTGGAAGCATTCTGGTTCCCTAGCATGTAGGGCTCACACGCTGGCTTCCTGAGTTTTTATGGAGGTAGTGATGGGACTGAAAGTTCCAAACCTCTAATCACAAGGTTGGTTCTCCTGGTAACCCAGTTGTCACTCATCTTTATTGGACAATTTTCCCCTAATCTTTAAAGTGAGACTATTGGACTAGCTGTCTCTGAGGTCCCCTTTAGCAGTAACATTCTGTATCATAATTGTATAGCTAACTTAAACTTCAGCTCCTAATTCACTATTTCCTGTTGTAAAGGGAAGGGGTAGTCTGTAGATCTTATTGGGCAACTCTTTCAGCTCCACAGAACTAGAGTTGTTAGATAAAATACGGTCTGCCTAATTAAATTTGAATTTCAGTTAAACAACAAGTAGTTTTCTAGTCATCATGCAGTGTTCGAGACAGACTGGAAAGGTTATTTGCTGCTTATCAAATTGAACTGGGTGTTCCTATATTTGTAGTTGCTAAAACTGGCAACCTACAAAAATCCTGAAAATTTATATACAGACATAGAGGAGTTCATAGTAAGGAAAGCAGTGAAGAAGATTGTCAAGTACTGAGCTTTTTAGTCTGAAGGGAAGAAGAATGAAACAGGTTATGACATTAATGGGTTGAAACTAGTGGGTTCAACTGATTGAATCTCTGAAGACCATTTCTAGGTCTAAATACTTTTATAAAAAATGTTAAGTACTTAATTAAAAAAAATATGGTGCTATTGGCGTTATGCAACATTGTGTAACCCTGAGCCATGACCTTGTGAAATCCTTAGAATTGTGTTGTAACAAAACTTGAAAGACCTTGGAACAGTTCAAGGGAAATTCAAATGATTTAAGTCCCAACCAACTTATGTTAATAGATGAATTAGCTTTGTTTTAACATTGTGTTATTTCCTTTTGGTTGTAAATAACAAAATTACTTTGGCTTAAATTTAAGCATATTTGATATTAATGTATCTTGTAGAATCTTGGGAGAAGTTGGACATCCAGGCTTTGGAAAGGGAAATGATTTTAAGGATTTTTAATTGAGATATTCCTGAATTTTTCAGTTAATGAGATTTCCAGTCACTCTCTCCAAGCTCAGAGTTTCAGATTTATGAGAGAATTGGATTTTGGCGAGAAGGGCAGGACCCATATAGTACAGCTCTGGCCTGGACCCTGGATGACTGTTCTCACCTTGAGCACAGGTTCCAGAGAAAAGTGAATATGTTGAGAAGGGTAAAGGAAGTGTCTTCACTATCAATATTTGTAGAACTTTTATTAATGTACACAATTTTATAGAGGGAATGTTAGTATAATATGAAAATTGAACGGATGAAAAATTACTTCCTTTTTCTACTTCTTAAAAATATATATTTGTTGCAACATATTTCATTTGCTTCTTATATAGCATTTCAAGTACTATTGTTTTTCACATCGTTACTTCATGCGATTGCCCAACCACTAAAAGAGCAAACTGTAATGAGTAAGATGCAGATGTCATGTCTGCAGATGAGGACTTCCCTTCATGGTTTGTCACTTGTTCAAGGAACCTCTTTTAAAAAGAGGTTTTTGGATAGTGCCAGTCTATTTCTCTTAGGAAAAAATTGATTTTAGAGGGTGGGGGAGAGAGAGAAACATAAATGTGAGAGAGAAATATCAATTGGTTGTCTCCTGTACATACCCTAACCAGGGATCAAACCCACAACCTTTTTTGTGTACAGGGTGATGCTCCAACGAACTGAGCCACCCAGCCAGGGCCAGAGTATACATTTTTACTGTGTATTTCTTTCTCTCAACTTACTTTAAAAAAAAATTATGCCTCTGTGCCTTTGAAAGGGTTATTTTTATCTATCCATAAATGCCCCTGCTTTTTTTCCATTTAAAGACTTGTTCCAAAATAACCTCTGTTTGGAACCCTTTTGGGAGAGTTATCTTTCTAAAATGCAAGTCTGAACATGTGTATGGTTATACAATGCTTAAAACATTGGTTTCCAGTTGTCCTTAGGATGCATTGAAAATTCTTAAAAAGGCTTAAGTGACCTAGTCCCTAGACTCTGTTTGTCTGTGTTCATCTCTGGTCACTCGTGCATCTGTGCCTTCACTGTGTGTTCCAACCAGAAGTTCTTTGCCTCGAAGTGGTTGTTCCCATTCTTAGAATCTTAAGTTGTGCACTTCCGCTGCTTATTTTAAAAAATGAGGTTTCTTTGAGCTCTAAAATACAGTGATTCTATTTAATAAATTACCTATGCACCTGCTTTTCTAGTTTCTAGTTAACTGCCTATCTTCCATTGTTCTTCTGTCCATCTGTTGTCATGATGAGACAGTCCATGGGTTGGGTGAAATTAATATTAGTAGAGATGAGATTGGGGAGAAAAGCAAAGTAGAAAGCCTGTTACTTTCAGCTTCCTTTCCAGGTTACTGATATTAGACATTACTTAGACTTATTGTGATCACATTCTCGAGTTCTAATTGAAGCCAGTTCCATGCTACTGGAAGGCTCAGAAGAAGGCAGAGTGGAGCGTTTCTTCTACTGTGTTTTTCTGTATTCCCTCTTTATTCTCACCAGCACTGTATTTGATAGATGAAAGGAGGAGGCTAAAGAAATTTAATGGTGTCATGGAAGCGTTCTTCTTTGTCTCCCACTAGCAGCAGCTTCTATCAACTGTAGTTCCTCAGAGAAGGAAGGCATTGAAATGTGGTGGATTTAAATAGCTACCTTTTAATAGTAATAGCACGAAATGACAGAATTGGCTTACTTGCAGTTTTTATTGTGCATTGTTTTGTTTCTGTCTTAAGAGGCTAGCTCTGACTAAGTGGGAAGGGGTTGGAGCTACACATACCTACAGAGTGATAACTATGTCAGGTACTGTGCTGTGCACTTTTGCATGTTTTTGTTTGTTTGTTTTTGTTTTGGGCTTTTTAAAAAGCTCACACAACAGTTTAGCAAGTTAGATGGTATTTATCTCAGTTTTGCTCAGAAAAGTGAAATAGCTTGCCTGAGGTACAAAACAAGTGGTGGAGGTAGAATCTGAACTCAGGTCTCCCTGGCTGAAAGTTCATACCTTTTTTTACTACTTTATTATTAGCACTAAAGACATCTTTTGCTTTACTAGCTCAAGTATAGATTTATGTGCTAGTCACATATAAATTTTACTTCAGGAATAAAAGACATGAATTCATATTAACATAGGAACTTTTTTAGCTCAGCATACCCAAGCAGTGTTCTGATAAGTCAGAGGTGGGAGTCAGAGTTTCTGAAAGTTACAAGGAGACCTAACACTTGTTTCTACCCTCTACTAGCCCTCATGCTATTGAGATGCCTGTGATTTTTATTTTTATTTCTTATTTGGTTCTCTTATCCCTCTGAACTGTTCTTTGTGGCATTCACTACACCATTAACAATTTATGTCTTCGTTGATATAGACAGTGAGCTGTGTAAGAGCAGGCTGTGTGTATCTTGTTCACCACCATAGGTTCTGAATAATAGAAGTCGTCCTTGTTATCCAAATCTCTTTGGTCCCTGAGTTCAGATAGTGAGTTGGGATAACCAGGGATACCCTTATTCATCGGATGACTGTAAAAGAAGAAAAGGTGGGAGTTCTAGAGTATGAGGGGAAAGGGTGGGAATAGGAGGAAAGAGAAAAGAAAAGGGTACAATTGACAAGAAGGATGAGGATAAGGAGATTGCTGTAGGTTTTCTTACTACGTGACTTGAAGTTTCATGTGCTTTGAAATGTATGGTAAAGGCTCATTTGTGGGCAACTAGTAAATAAGGCACAAGACATTGTGCCGTAAGGAGTTGACTACTCTATTCAACTTGAGTTGGGTGGAATAGGACCTGATTTTAGCAGTTTGTACTGACACTTACAGAACATTCATTATGGTGTGTTTTTTTCATGCTATGGTCTACTTAACCCAATACTTAAAATGGGAAAAGAGACTAGTTCCAAAGTATGAGGAAGCCTGCTGAAAGAAATAGCTTGCCTTTCTCAAGATTCCAGGCTCCTTTTTTACTGTTGAGTAAAATATCAATGGGCTGATTGATATGAATAAAGGGTAAAGCTGAGTAAATATCAATAGACAGATTGATGTGAGTCAGGGGTAAAGTGTTAAGACCTACACGGTTTAGACCCCCTTCTATCCCCCCTCCCCTTCTCTCCTGACCTCACTTCTTATCACTCTTTTGCTTAAGTACTGCTTCTTGCTATTTATGGAACATGCCAAGGGTGTTCCTGCTTCAGGGATTTTTATATTAAAAAAAAAACAAACAACAAAAACAGTAGCCCTAGCCGGTTTGGCTCAGTGGATAGAGCATCAGCCTGCAGACTGAAGAGTCCCAGGTTCGATTCTGGTCAAGGGCACATGCCCAGGCTGTGGGCTCGATCCCCAGTAGCGGGTGTGCAGGAGGCAGCCGATCAATGATTCTCTCTCATCATTGATATTTCTCTCTCTCTCTCCCTCTTCCTTCCTCTCTGAAATCAATAATAAAA